TGAGTGCCAAATACCTCTATGTGCTATTCAGTCCTCCTTTTATAAACAGCATATTTTTGAATACTATTGCACTTCCAACCTTTCAATAATCTTTCCTGATTATTAGTGGATTATAATGGAGCAGAAAATACAGGATTAATTAAAACCACAATAATAACAGCAACAAGGAAGCCAAAGGTGCTCAAGTGCTGACATGGCCAGGCCAAGTAAGCCACCACAGCCCATCCTTCCTGCAGATTCCAGCTGAAAACTCTGAACCCCAAACAGCTACCTGAGCACTCTGAAAATAAATAAAACAGGTAGACCGGGGAAGGGAGCCAATCTGCATAGAGAAGAGTTTGACTTTATTTTCCTCTGAGCTTTGCCCCAAGGGTGGGAATTATTTCCAGAGAAGCACAGTAGGATGTGCAGCTAAACTCCAATAGAAGCCCTAACTTTTTGGTAAAAAGGACCAGGAAAGAAAAAAGCCTATGCAGGTTGGAGAGTGTGGAGAGAAGGACCTGAAAGTTAGAATGATCGAAGGCTTTAAAGCAATCATTATAACTGTGCTTGATAATGTAAAGAAAAAGACACATGAATAGAATAAAAATATGAATTCTTAAACAGAGAAATCAAAACTATACAGAAAAAACAAATAGAAATTTTAGAACTGAAAAATAACAACACCTAATAGAAACAAGTCACTAGATGGGCTCAGTAGCAGAATGGAGATGACAGAGAGAAGGGCCAGTGGACCTGACGACAGATGGATAGAAATTATATAATCTGAACAACAAAGAGAAAAAAAGATTGTGAAAAATATATATGCAACCCCAGGGACCTGTGTGAAAATACTGAACTACCTAACATGTGTAATGGGGGCACTAAAAGGAAAAGAAAAAAGACTGGGGCAGAAAAAAATGTATTTGAAGAAATAATGGTGCCAAAATTTTAAAATTTGGTACAAGACATAAACTTACAGATTCTAGAAGCTCAGCAAATCCCAAGCAGGATAAATTAAAAACAAAAACAAAAACCATGCCTAGCCATTATATCAAACTACTAAAAGCCAAAGGTAAATAAAAACCATTGGAAAGCAGCTAGAAAAAAGCAGGACATATGGTGAATAATGATATATGATTTATCATAAATAGTAAACACAAGAAATCAATGAAATAGTATCTTTAAAGCAATGAAAGAAAAGGTCTATCAACCAAATTATCTTTCAGAGATAAAGGCAAAATAAAGACTTTCTCAGATGAAGGGAAACTAAGAATTCACCAGCAGATTGCTCTAAAATAAATGTTCAAGGAAGTTTCTTAGGCTGAAGAGAAATGATAAGAAGAAAACTTGTATCTTCAGGGATGAAGAAAGAACAAATAGTTGAATAAATATAAAAGTCTACTTTTCTCTTCTTATATTCATTAAAATTTATACAACTATTTATTTATTTTTTATTATTTTTTTCTTATCTTTTTTTAAATTCAGGATATTATAGGGGTATAAACATTTTGGTTACATGAAATGTGTTTGCCTCGCCCAAGCCAGGGCCACAAACGTGTCCTTCCCCCACACAGTGTGCCCCATTTCCTTCCCTGTGGAAAATAATTTGGAGATACTTCAAAGAGCTAAAAATAGAAATACCAGTTGACCCAGCAATCCCACTACTAGGCATCTACCCAAAGGAAAAAAAGTCATTCTATAATATATATGACTATTTTAAAGTAAAAGTCTGATGGAGTTTTCGATGTATGCAAATCTAACACATTTGACACATACAGTAAAAGGATGTGGGTGGGGGTAAAGGGATGTACACGGTTGGTTTCAAGGTTTCTGTATTTTATGTGAAATAGCACAAAGTTAACTCTAAGTAGATTGTGAATGATTACAGCAACCAGTAAAAATTACCATAAAGAGATATAACCAAAGAGCCAATAGGCAGATTAAAATGGAATACTAAAAAACACTCAATCCAAAAGAAGGCAGAAAAGAAAAAGAAAATGAAATACAGAAGGAACAAACAGAAAACAAATAATAAAACAGTAGTTTAAATCCAGTCACTTCCACAATTCAGTAAATGCTCAATGGCCTGTATACCAAAGGCTGGCTTAACATTCAAAAACCCATGGAATTCACCATATTAACAGAATGGAAGATAACACATGATAATTTCAATGTATGCAGAGAAAGCATTAAAAAAAATTCAATATCCAGTCATGACAGTCTCAGTCTCAGCAAACCAGGAGTAACAGGGAAAGTCCTCAAACTAACTGAAAGAGGCTTCAGTGAACCAATATCGTGCTTAATGGTAAAAGACGGTATCATCTTCCCCTGAGATCAAAACCAAGGCAAGACTGCTAAATAATAACATGAAAATAACTTGAAAAGGATCAACGCTTAAATGTAAAAACCTAAAACTACGATTAACTAAACTACTATTTCTTTTTAAGATTTAAAAACCTGAGTATAATACACTGACAGGAAAGTTCACATATAACTCAGGTATGCACTTGATGGATTTTCACTGAACAAACCTGTGTGACTGGCACTCTAACGAGAAGCAGGAAATCACCAGCAATTTGGAATCACCTCTCCGGTTCCCTAGTTTCTAACCTACTTCCTTGAGATCTCTAACAGTGCATATTAGTGTTGCTCTTACTGTAATTACAAAAATGGAGTCACACTGTATTATTCTCTTAATCTCTTTTGTGTCTGTCTCCTTCAGTCAACATGTTTGTGGGATCCACTCTTGCTGTTGCATGTAGTTGCCGATTGTTCATCCTCATCACATTATAGTATTCCATTGTGTGAACATACCAACAGTTCTCCATTCTAGTTATCCAAATGATGGACATTTGGGTAGTTTCCAGTTTTGAGCTGTTATGAATACCGTTTCTAAGAATATCTCAGTACATTTCTTTTGGTGGACACAGGTGTGCATTTCCACCAGGTGTATACTAGCACTGAATTACCAGGTCTTAGGATACATGTTTGTGTAGCTTTAGTAGATACTGCTACTTACTCTTCCAAATAGTTGCAATTAATTTACACTCCCACCAGCAAGAGTTCAATTTTTCCACATCTTTTTCATTTTACCCTTTCTGGTGGATATTTAATACATGTTTTAGAAAAGGAAATTATAGACTTAAACAATGCTGGTGGTATAATCAAAGCAGTAATTTTTCTCCAATATTGAAGCCTCTGCTCAAATTATTTTACAAAGTAAAACAATTTGAAATTCTAAAATTTCTCTTAAAATACATTCTTCTTTAATTAATTAAATGACCCTGAATTGATGCTATGGCTGTATTTTCTAACCACATCTGATATTATGAATCACCTGGGATACTTGCTATAAATACAGATTCTTGGGCATATCTTTTTATAGGAAGCCCAAGAAATTCCTATTATCAGGCAAGTCTGGAAAACATTACTATATGAGGATCTTCTGACATTAACACTTATTTAAAAGTGAATCAGAGTGAAAAATAACTACTTTGGGGATTTCTTTGGAGAGTCCCAGCCCCAGAACCTTTCTGGATATTGTCAACTTCTATAATAACTTCAGAGGCAAATATTATTTTAATAGTTGAATAAACTGAGGCCAAAGTGCCTTGCTCTGGGTCCTTTAATAATACCAAAACTATCACAGGGGATTACTTTTGATAAATGGCCTTAATGATATTTATCATCTTAAAAAGAAATCAGCTTTTACTACTAATTGGGCTATAACAGAGCAAGTCTGTAGTTTGGAAAAACTGGTAACGTTACACAAGAAGAAGAACATGACAAGTAGTATCATAAAACCTGGTCTCAAATCCAAGTCTAACCATCATCTATGAAATTGAAGTCAAAATATCCTTGCTACCCCAGTTTCCTTCTCTGAAATGGAAGTAACATCACTCATCTTATCCTGACACTGGGAGGGCTACGTAAATTAAGACAAAGGAGAGGAATATGTAGTAGGTAATAAATTTGTAATCTGTTTTTGCATCTTCTAGGTCTCTTCTCAAATTGCTTACCTGTAAGCTTCACAATTGTTTGCAAAATTTTCTAAATATCTTTACACTGCAACTCAGCTTTTGTAAGAGAAGTAAATAATTAAACTCTCTAATTCCACCTAATCCTGCATTTTCCCTCACTTCCATCTCTGCCAGTGGAAACCAGCAGCCCTATAACTTATGGCTGAAAATTATTAAAAATAATAATTTGGAAAAATATAGCACCAAGAAGTACCTTGAGGTAAAAGAAAACTGTAATTTTAAAATAAAGTTGAACTCTTCCAAAGCTAGAGAACATTACTAAGGGAAATGTACAAATGAATTTTTTTTTAACAGAGCTAAAATCACTTGAAAAAGCCAACATTTCAATTTAGCCTTTTAGATAGCTTTCTAACATCAACAAATTAAGTAGTTAAATGGCATTTCTTCTGCACATCAAAACGTTTCAAGCATCACATTTCATTTGTAAAAAGGCCTGTGAAAACCACTTTTATAAAAACAGATCTAATTCTGTGTACTAAAAAGACACCTACCATATCTGGACTATATGGCCATGAAAAGCCCATTTAACACTCTTTGCCAATTACTACTCATAAAAAGTGATTAAGACAGGTTTATATCATAGGAAGTCTCCTTCAGCTCTCTGTGGTTTGATCCTTCTAATCTTAAAGCTGGTGAAAAACTCTGGAAAAAATTAGCACTTATTTTAGGAAACAGAACAGTTACACTTTTATTTGGAAGAAAATTTGTAAATAATAATTTGATGTCATATGTGTATTAAAATTCACGATAAAGATCTAAAAGTCGAGAAGCTGTGATTAACAAATATTCTGCCAAAGATGTGTGTAATCCAGGGCAAATCCCTTAACCACTTGGGCTTTGGTTTCCTCCTCTGTAAAACGTGGACACTGTCACTACGTATGTCACAGGGTGGGTGGAGGTCTAGATGGGCAATGCTGGCTGGGTATTTAGCCATCATGATGAGTGCAGTCGTAGAGACACCGAATCGTGGGGACTCACGGGGCACGGTCACGCCATAGTGCTGAGTGTCACTGATCAGCAGCTTTCGTTTCAGCTCATTCAGCCCTACTCCTACGGGACCTGAAAAACAGGGCAACAGAAAAGCATTACCAAACAAAACACCATACAAACATTTCTGTAACTGACATGAATCTATAAGACAGACTGAGAATACAGATCCAAATTTGCAACCCAAGTAAAAAGATTATTTCTAGTTAAGCTGTACGTAAGAAAAAGCTTGGATTTCTTTTGCTGCTTTCTTACTTTTTAAATCTAAACCCTTACCTTTCCCTCAAACAGATTACAAATATTTATGTTTTAAATGGAACATACTCAGAAATATCTGAGTATCACCAAGTAATAGCACCCACAAAAGCCTAAAATATATGTGCACCTAACAAAACTGGATTGGACCATCCAAGTGATAATTTCAATTTTAAATGTTTTTAAATCTTAATAAAAGAAAATCTTGAACTCTGACTTTATTTTGGATGCAAATTCAGTTATATATTTTAAATATGCAAAAGCGCCAGCCACTTTTTACATCTGTTGAGACTCTGTCCTACATTATATATTTTTGGTTAGTCCTTAAGTCTTCAAAAACTTGCATAGACCTTACACATTTAAATCAAGCAGTGCATACACACTGAACACCTATTATGAGCAAGGCATGCACTGAATGCCACTGAAAATAAAAGATGATAAATGAACTCTGCTCTTAAAGAAAGTAATTGGTTAAATAAGAGACCGGGACCAAAATAAATAAAAGAAAAACAAAGAGTGTTTTCAAATATGAGTCCGAAATCGAAAATGAGAAGGGCTCAAGTCCCAGATGGCTGGCATTCTTTTTCCATCTAAAAGCCTCTAAAATGCTGCCATCAGGACCATTTAAGGATGGTGTGTGCTGTGAGCAGAACACAGCTATAAGTCCAGACTGCTATTCCCATCCATTACCCCCTCACCTGGTGATAATGGACAAGGTACAGCCATGAGCCTAATCAGATTTCATTCTAATCTTAACAGTACACGTGATCCCTTTTTGGGCTGGAAGGAACGAGAACTCATGTCCAGTGTCTGGCACAGAATCCAGGTCTTGGCTGTTCGTTCCCTGGCCTACCTCTTCTTCCGACCTGGGCGGGTCACAGGAGGCTTTGAAAAGAATAAGGTTTTGTGCCAGATGATGAAGAACATATGGTAGAGAAAGAAGAGCAGGGTGGGCATCCTGTGCAGGGAAGAGGGTGAGCAAAGACGAAGAGGCAGGAGTTGGAGACTGTGTTGTCCCTGCTCTAATGCTACGTTTAGGTGCCTCACCCTGGTACAAAAACACCTGTCACCCTGGTTCATGACCACTTTCTACCTTTCCCTACACTGTCCTCAAGTACCAAATCTGTGGCAGCTTCCCCTTGTTCTGTAAGACAGTTGCTCTCAACTCTCTCTTTTATAATAAATACTCCATAATATCCCATTTATATCCCCAAATGGAATTCAGAGCTAATATAACTAATGCATATAATTCCCCCTCCAAATTAATACAATGCCCTACTTGTAATATATGAAGGATAGAAAAGTAATTTATAATAAAACAGTATGTATTTCAATATGCAAATGCTTGACATGACTAGAGCAGAAAAACCTAATGAGGTCAGATGTTTGCCTCTACTTATAAGTAAGTTTGGATTTAAAAGATCAGGAGCCGTTCTGTACCTGAAAGCCTGGATATGATGGTTAGGTCATGTGCTCAAGGTCACTAACAGAAGCTACTAGAGCCCCCATTTGAACTTGGCTCTCTTTATCTTAAGACAAGAGAACCAGAGGGGAAGGCAATGAATTCCCTCTAGATACAGTGAGTTTCAGAGAATAAAATCTCACTTCCTAAACTCAGACAAGAACTGCCATGTCCCAGAGAGGATGGGGCTGAGATTCCTGTGAACATGCTCACATGGAGAGAAAACCTGAGACTAAGAACAGGCGAGCTCTCTGAGGGAGCAGAGACAAGAAATACGCATTATCAGTTGTCTGTGATGTGCCAGGCACCATGCAGGAGCTTAGGCATTTTATCTAGTTTAAAGGCACAAAAAATATTTAGAGTAAGTTCTAAAACTTACTCTTTAAAATAAATAGAACAAAATAGAAAACAAATGACTTTACAATGGAGTTACCTACCTTCTATTATACCTACAAATGAAGCAAACCCTGTTATCTATGCTAAAAACAAACAAACAACAAAAGCAGCAGCAAATAAAACAAAACACCCAAATGAATACAGAGGGTGCGGCCTGTTGTGCCTCACGGCACCCAGGACTAAAGGGAAGGATGTACATTCATTCACCGCTTCTTTAGGAAGCCTCCACTGCGGAGCGCTTCACAGAGTGTGAGATACTTCGCTAAGTGAGAGTCTAGCATTTTCTTTTCTTTTCTTTTAATTTAATCTCTTCTAAATTGAAAAAAAAAAAAAACCCAGTGATTTATTTTAAATTCTAGAGAAAAAAACTAGGTGTATCTGAATGAGTAGGAAAAAGTATGCTATCTCTGATGTGATACCCTTAAATTTTGACTACATTTAATTCTGAACCTATGTGGTAACTTTATAATCTAACCCTTACAAACAAGTTCACTTTGCTGTACACTTCATGGAGTATACACCCATGGAGTATACCAAGAATGTTCAGTGGCAAATGATTTTGTTCGGAAACTGTTTCATAAGTTAAGTTATTCTAGATCACCATCTTCAAAGGTGAAAATATCCTCACAAAAAAAGGTTAAAATAGAGTCATAATTTTGATCATTCTGCCTACAAACAGCATTTTCCCTGTTGGGCCCTTGGATCAATTCTGTCATCTACACTGGAGAAGTTCTAGAGTTTCTCACTGATTTTAAAAGACTACAACTTGGGTCCACATTCCTGTCCTGTATCCTCCATCTATGGTTAGGGATAAGTTAACGACATTTATAGTTGGCTGGTTTGTATTTAGAATACAAAACCTATTTATGTTGTGGCTATTCAGGGACTCAACGAGTTAGGTTCATTCATGCAACAGGATAGATTCATTTCCCCTTCAATATATAACTTCTTATCACAATTGGTGAAATACATTTATATGTCATATGCAAACAGATTACTCCGGTTTGTTTTCAACTGTGCTTGCTAATGATAAAGTGAAGCAGAGGGGAGAATCTAAACAGCGTGTCTTTAAATCAGACAGTAGGTTGTGGAACGGTGACAATGACGATGCCGGCAAGAGGCAGGTGTGTGCCATGTTGGCTTACACACACCATTACTAATCCTCAAAGCATCCTCCAAGAATGGCATCAGTATCTTCTTTGTACAGATGAGAATACTCACGAAATGAAAGGTTAGGTAATTTTCCAGAGGTCAACATCTGGAATGTGGCTTAGCTGGTGTTCAAAAGCCTGTCTGTCTGACTCAAAAGTCTGCATTCTTTCCACCCTACCCATGATCTTATCAAAAGGATGCTGATAAAAGAGGAACCTGGGTACGGATTACTCCACTGTCTGTTTTGGGCTGTGATCCATGACAGCATGGACTCTCACACCCCATCCCAAGCTGCACCTTTAGACAGTGGTGACTATCTGTGCTTGAGGAACAGGCAGAGATGCTGGCTATAAAAAGTGACAGAAGTCAAATCTGGTGATCTCAAAAATCATTCCATGCAGAACCTGAGAAGCCTAAGATAAATTTAATTAAGATGATGGGCATACCAGGCCTGTGCAACATACACGGGGAGATGTCTGCTAGGATTCTTGCTCCAGGACTAAGGAAAATCATACACAGTGGCAATATATGTAAGCAAAAGCAAAAAAAGCACACTAAAAATGATTTGAAGTTTATTAATATGGAAATCAGCTAATGAACTAAAGCTGATGTGCTTACTAGCTTTGAAAGAAACTAAAAAATGTTTATAGTTAAAGCAGAAATGTAAATAAGTATTTATCTGCTTCATTTGAAACCATTTCATAAGAATTTACAAACATGTACCATGTTGAAAAGTAAGAACAAAGCCATGTGCATCAATCCCCATTAGCTAAAGTTCTTGGGAAAAAAATGTGTCGACTAGATAAATATTAAGAAAGGTACATTATTTAAATTACTTTTTATGCATTTAATTAGTAACTCTTTATTGAAAGCAGTCAAATGTGATTTTATATGAAGTTTCATTCATTTTAGCCAAAAAAAATATAGCCCATTTAAGGTGTCAATAAAATGTTAGTAAAGTTTCTATTTAAAACTTTACATTTAAGAAAATAGTCACTGTTAACTACATGCAAAAATTCCTTTATTTTCATTTGAAAAATAAAGGTTAAACAATTTATATACAAATCCTCAGCTTTCATTTTCATAGGAGAATTTAGACATATGAGATACCTTTTCCCCACATGACTCCTGAGGCGGTTGATATTACTGCCTCATTATCCATGTAATTATGAGAGATTGAGTGTTTCCTTTGTTCTACTTCAGATATTATTTTATTCCACGTACACATTTAAGTGTTTATGATTTGCATCAAATGTTTATGTATACAAAACAAGAAATATATTTTTATTAGAATGCTAGCACTGGCTGGGTGCAGTGGCTCACGCCTGTACTTCCAGCACTTTGGGAGGCTGAGAGGGAGAATTGCTTAGGCTAGAGTTTAGACTAGCCTGGGAAACAGAGCAAGACTCCATCTCTATAAAAAAATTTAAAGAGTAGAGAGATTGGTGTCACGTCCTGTAGTCCCACCTACTTGGGAGCAAAGGTGGGATGATCACTTGAGCCCTCGAGTTTGAGGCTGCAGTGAGCTATGATTGTGCCACTGCACTTCAGCCTGGGTGACAGAGTGAGATCCTCTTTTTTTTTTTTAAAGAATGCTAGTACAGTATACTTTCAAAATTAGTTCATAGTTGATGCATAAAAGTTTTTATTCTGTAAATACTGTCTCAAAAAAGATCTACTTTCTGAATCTAAAACACACATATACAACTAAGACACAAACAAAAAAACTAAATGAGTGGAAAAGCTTTGAGGTAAAACAACAGTGACTAGAATAGCACTTGAAACCATAAGTGCCCTGAAATAATGC